AACTGAGAATACAGCTCAAGAATTAGAGATGAGAAGTAGAGGTGAAAACTGGTTTGAGCTTGAAACATCCAGCTAGAATTTCAGAGAGGTAGATTTCTGTTCTGTATATGGAGAAATATCCTAAGAAGAGCTCTGCAGAAGTAGAATGGGTTATCTTGGTATGGATAATGAGTCCTCTGTCACTTCAGAGTGAAGAGGGATATTGTCGAGGGGATTCCTGTTTGGATATGGGTTGGACTTGAGGACTTTGGAAGTCTCAACTCTTGAGATTCAGTGATTCCAGAACTCACAAGTACTCTTTTTAATTGATTAAAACCCTAAATTTTGTTCACTTATTCCCTTCTCTCTTTCATACTATATGCTCTTAAAATATCAGCAACTAAAATAGTTCTTCCTACGCATTTGTAAAGCCTATTTTCACAGAATTTTCAGCCTGACACAGAGGATTAAAAATGACGTATGAAAATAAGTTTTCTTGAAATTTTAAGTTTCCCTAAATTCTCCCAGGGTTGTCTGTCCTAGTTAGGGATATTTATTGCCTTTGACTCAAACTATGTCCAGAAAACAAAATTCATCTATTTGAAATGGACACCTGTTGAGACCAATTCTCTCATAAAAGGCATACGTGAAGTATGGGGGTAACATTGAAAACTATATAATTATGGTGATTTGGATAGTTTACAGACAGTTTTGCCATATGCCACTCCACATAAATTAAGGTACTGCATAGTTTGAAATAAAAATGTTATGTACCAATGTGACATTCGAATGTGACTTCCTTGTCAGTGACATACAAATTGCCTCTCATTAACATGATAGTATTTTTGAGGCATGGAAAAGTCCTGATTGCTTTTAATTCATTTAAAGTTTAACTTGTCTTTCATGGCAGCTTCTTTCCAAAACTCGACATAAATCTTCTACATATATGAAAGGAATGTGGAATAAAGTCAGTTTTTAGTTTAAAATGTTGCAGTCCTTATTGTCTCACTTAAAATTTCTTTGTGGACATAGGCTGAAGTAGGTCATCCCAGAGATAGTTTAGAAAAATCCCCCTTATTTGCCTAAAAGAATTAATCTAAGCTTGTCAGTTCTGTTTCTATTTCTTGTTTACAACAGCAGAGTAGTAAATCCTTGCCCTTGGTTTCAGGACCATTATTTACATATCTGGTATTGAGGGTTCCCTTTACTGCAGTCACATGATTATTGGCTTGCTGCCAAGAGAATCTGCTTGGCTGGGAGGAAACACTATCAGTTACAGATGCAGCCAGAGTTACCAGAATAGTAAATAATGTCACAAGACCCATTTATTCCTCTCCACAAAAACATGGTTTGGAATATCTTGGGTTTAGGATGGAAGCAAGGTTTTATTTTTTCTCCTTCAGCTAACCAGAGGCAAATATTTGGCCATATTTTATTGTTGTAATAGAGTTCATGGGTTTGCTTATGAGCTTTGTGGTTGGCTGCACCTCATAATGTGAAGCCTAAAGGCATGGCACTTTTTCCTCTTGCCTTAAATGATACTTAATTTTTTTAAACTATTCTCTCTGAGGCTCTAGAAAGTGTGACCCCTTAACTGAATGCCCCACATACTTTTATGACCTCTTAACTATTTGAATTCATCTCAATTCAGCAACCATTAAGATCCTGCCACATGAAAGGTACTCTTTGGGTCTCTGCCTTCAAGGAGCTTGCAATGAAATCCACGGGTGTACAGTATATGAATAAAGTAGTATGATATGTTAGAATGCAATAAGGACATAAAAGAAATACAGACACAGTATTCTGTGAAAATTTGAGGAGAAAAAGATTACTGAGTATTTTGGGGAGTAGAAACCATAGAACACTGCATGTATAAGGCGGTGCCTGAGATAGGTATTGAAGGAAGGGAAATATTTCAACAAGGAAAGATAGAGAAAAGGTGCATTCCAGTTCTGGGGGCTGGATTGCACCAGTGCTTAGAGGTGGGAGAGTAGCCAGGATGAAAACTGCCAGTAGTTCATTTTGGCTGTAATTATGAGAATATGAACAAAAGTAGTTTGAAATAGAACTAGAAAGGCTAGTTCAGGAGTGGGGAATCTGTGGTCTCAAGGCCACATGTGGCCCTCTAGGTCTTTGACTATATCCAAACTTCACAGAATAAATTCTTTTATTAAGGGGATTTGTTCTGTGAAGTTTGGATTCAGTCAAAGGGCTGCACTTGAAGAGTTAGAGGGCCGCATGTGGCCTCGAGGTTGCAGGTTTCCCACCCTTGGTCTAGTTGGACTGTTAAAGGCCTTAAATGCCAAACTAAGGAGTTTTTTTTTTAATTCCACAGTTAGAAGGTTTTTGAATAGAGTAGTAATGTGAGGAATTAGGAAGATTAATTTGGCTTTTGTATAACAGGTAGATTGGTGGAAGAAAAAACTAGAGGTAGGGAGACCAACTGAGGCTATTTCAATAGTATGGGCAAGATATAAGGATGACTTGATAGAGTGGTGATAGTATAACTGAGGAGGGATATGCCTGGAAGATATAGCATGGAGATAGATTCAGTAGGACTTGAAAACTGATTAAATATAGGGCTTGAGAGAGTGAAAAGAAGCCAAGGTGATTTCAGGGTTTAATCTTGAGGAACTGTTTCATGATTTCATCAGAAATAGAAATTCAGCAGAAAAGGATAGGTTTTAAGAGGAAGATGGTAAGTTCATTTTTTAATATGTTAAGTCTAATGTGCCAGAATGACGAGGTGAAGATGTCCAGCAGACACACACAAATGCATATACATACACGCACCAAAGGAAAGAATGTAGGAAGAGCAGAAGGCGAAGACGGAGCTTTTGTAGAACACCTTCAGTTAGGGAGAGAGAAGAAGATAAATCAATGAAGAGGAACAATGAGTTTTCAAATGAATAAGAGAACCAGAAGGAGGAATGTCAAGCCAAAGCAGAGAAACCCTCCCTATCAAAGAAAGGGAATTTAACAGTGTTATAGGCTATTAAAAGGTCAAGGGAGAATGAGAATTAAGAAAGGGCCATTTGATTTGGCAATTGGTCATTGGTGACCCTTGGAGAGAGAAATTTCAGAAGAGAGTTGGATGGAAGCCAGATTATAGGGGGTTGAAAAGTGAGTGGATGGTGAGTCAGTAGATCTAGCCAGGGTTTCCTTTAAAAAAAAGTTTAGCAATTAAAAGAAGAGATAGAGCACTATGACTTAAGTAGATAGTGAGGTCAAAGGGGAAGGGTATTGTAATTTTTTGTTTTGTTTTGCTTTTAGAGTGAGAAGACTTAGTCATGTGTGTCAGCATGGGAAGAATCCATAAGAAAATGAAAAGTTGAAAATGAAATATAGAGAATGGAAAAGACTGATAGATCAAGCTCTGAGAGAAGAGAGAAGGGGATGGGAATTAGGGCACAAGTGAAAGAGAGAGCCTTGGCAATAAGAGGGACCATCTCATCTTCTGAGACTGGAGAGCAGAAAGGCTAAATGAAAATGGGAGAGAGAGTAGATTTTAAATCAAAGTGTAATTAGAAAAAAGAAGGTAGTTAAAGAGGAAAGTGTTTAAGTAAGTGCTATGCAAAATCCTTGAAGCTTAGTAGGAGCACAAATCATAGTATGCCACCTATCTGGGTTTGCTGCCCAGGAGATCCCTGTCTAGCAGATCCCAGATTTTCATCTTTATTACTGGCATTTTGGGTTTAAGAAAATGGATTAAATAACTTCACAAGGTCCTTTTTAGTTTGAGTAAAATCTGATATTCAGTGTTCAGCTAGATATAATGATTCTATGGTTTTTGGGTAAGTGCAAAAAGCAAGGAGAAGAAGTCATCTCACAATATGTGCAACTAACAGAGAGCAGAGGAGGAGGGGGAGGAAACAATTCTCCTAGGTTATATGTGTTGTTCAACCTAGAATTGTACATTCATTCAGGATCCAGGAATTCCTTTACCCTGTGTTGTGGTTTGTATGCCCTAGAGGAGTAAATTTTGACAAGACTCATACAAAACACATAAGTCATTATCCCTGAGACATGACCTCAGGTTGGGACCTCTGTATTCTTTCTTGGGAGCTGGTTCTAGCCCAAAAACCAACACTTGACTTTAGTTCAGTTCAGCAGACATACATTAAACATCTCCTGTGTTCAAGACACTGTGCTACGCACTGTGGATACAAGGATAAAAACAATAGTACTTTCCCTCAAGGACCTTACATTTTCTGGGAACGTTGGTGGAAAACATCTATACAATTAAGCATAATGCAAGATAAATCATGGTAAAAGAAGCATTAACAACTGAGTATATTAAGAAGAGATTTGTATAAAAGATAGCACCAGGAGCACCTTAAAGGAAAACTAGGAATTTGAATATTGGGGGAATAGAGTATAGTCTGATTTGACTGGATAATAGAATTAATGAAGGAGAGTAGTATCAGGTGAGGCTAAAAAAACATTGGGTGGCACCAGATTGAGAGAGCTTGAATATTAGGTACAGCACTGTTTGAATTTTAATCAGTAGGCATTTGGGAGCTACTAAAATGTTCTGAGCAAATGAATGAGAAATTTAACAAAGCTTACTTTATTAGGTTTAAGATGGTAGTTTTAGATACCTTCAGGACTGCCAGAGGGATATGATGGTGGGACTGAAGTTCAGGAATGAGATTAAGCTTGTCAGATAGATTTGAAAGTTAACTGTGTAAAAATGATACGTGAAACCAGAGGAATTCACTAAGAGATATAATGTAGACAGATCAGAGAAATTGGAGATTAAATGCCTGCTGTAAAGTGTTATGTGAGGTACAAAGAGAGAGATTATTACTGGAGGGGGGAAAGGGGCAGGGAATACTAGGCACAGTTTTCAGGTCTATACCCAAGCAAGATTAATCTTTTAAATTTGTTAAATTGAATTTATAGTTTGTGAGGTTGCAGTTTTACATTGTAGGAGTTAAGACCCATGATAATAAAATAAATCATTTTTGCACATATATCTGTAAGAATTTTGAATTTCTCTATCTAAATTTCTTTTTTAGAACAACAATTTGCAATCTCTACACGATGCCCCGGATTGGAGAACCTGTCTGGCTCACAATGATGTCTGGAATCTCTGAAAAGAACCAGCTTTGCCATCGTTTCATGAAAGAATTCACTTTTCTAATGGAAAATGCTTCCAAAAACCAGTATGGCCATTCTTTTTGTAACTACTTACATTCTTTTTAATGAACTCAACATTTCCCTATTGAGCAAATATAGTGTCTGTGAGATATAAGTTATAAGAGTACAAGAAAATGAAACACTCATAGTTCCTTTTTATATTGTTTAGTCTGTGCCTGTGATTTCATTAATATAGAGAACTCCCTAGTGTGGAAATTCCCTCAACCTGTGGGGATTGGCAGTATGTCTGTAATTTATAATCTTATTTCATTGCTTAGGGAGCTGAAAGGTTAAGCACTAACTTTGCACCTGGTCACACAGCTGCTCTGTGTCAGGCTAGTATGTATCACAGGTCTTCCTGGCTCTGGGGCTGGCTCTCTAACTACTACATCATGCAGCCTCTCAGAAGAGAATTATTAACATAAAGCGATATAAGGTAGGAAATAGAGCCAGTTAACCACATAGCCAAGGAATGAGGACAAATCAAAGTAAATATGGAATAATTTGCATTTCAAGAACTTGTTATTTTCATTGATGCAGCTCACAACCCTATATAACTTAATAGATGGTCTCTGAGAGTTGCTGTGGCCAAAAAATTCATCACCTTTCAGTCAACCTGCTAAGTAGCCTCTTCAAATTTAGCTAGCTATTTATTTGGCCAAGGCATACATTTTATTTGTGGACCTATAGCTGAGGCATTTCTGACTGGTAGGGCATACCTATTAGAGCTAGTATAACCTTCAAGAAGGCACTCCCATGCCACAGTGTGGGGTAGAACTTGAGTAGAGGAATAGTGTATATACAATAAATTAGAATTCCCCATATTTTACCATAAATTTTGCTCTAGGATACCTATTACCACGCGCTTAGGTGGATGGAGCACTGGGGTTGGAATCAGGAAGACCTGAGTTTCAAATCTGGCCTCAGACACTTACTAGCTGTGTGACCCTGGGCAAGTCACTTAACCCCTATTTGCCTCAGTTCCCCACCTATAAAATGGGGACACACTGGAGAAGGAAATAGAGTGTTTTACCAAGAAATTCCCATGGACAAGTCCATGGGGTCATGAAGAGTCAGACACAACTGAACAACAAAACAAGACAACAAAACCTATTACTACAAGTTCTACCCACAACAATTCATGAAAAATCTTAGAATGAGAAAATTATTTAGGTCTTAGTGACAGAACCTGCCTGATAGATCCAGGTAAACAAAAACTTATTAAGTGCTTGTTATGTGCAAAGGTACTATGCTAGGTGCTGGGGATACAAAAGTAAAAATAATCCCTATATTCAAAGAGTTTATATTCTAAATAGAATATATTCTATTTTCTTTCTTTCTTTCTTTCTTTCTTTCTTTCTTTCTTTCTTTCTTT